CTGTTATGATTTAAATGTTTGTCCCCTCCAAAGCTTGTGTTGAAAATTTAGTTGCCATTGTAACAGTTTTGAGGTGAGAACTGTAAGAGGTATTGGGCCATGTGGGCTTTACCCTATTGGATGGAATTACTGCCTTTATAAAAGGGCAAGTTCAGCTCACTTTTGTCTCTTGGCCCTTCTGCCTTTTGCAATGAGATGATGCAGAAAGAAGGCCTTTGTGAGATGCAAGCGCCTTGATGTTGGACTTCCCAGCTTCCAGAACTGTGAGCCAAGCAATTTTTGTGCATTATGAATGACATAGTCTGTGCTATTGTGTTATTGCAGCACACAGTGAGCTAAGATACAGCATTTTCCTATTCAGCCATTGCTCTCGACAGCATGGTCTTTGTCTCAGGTTCGGTGGGTCCTCATCTTTACAGCTCACAATGTAACCGAACCAACCTTCTACCCATGAAGCCCTGAGCATTTCTGAACATCCAGAGTCATCATCCTGGGCCCCAGCTTTTCTCAAGATAGCTTTGTTTATGGGAACAGGTTGTGCTTGTGTGATTGACACTAGTACCACCCTGGTTGGGAAGGGTCTGTCCCAGTCCAACAGTGTCCCTGATTTTCAACCTCAAGAAAAGCCATCAAGACCATGGTTGCCTGTATCCCATGGTTTCTTATCCATATTATTCTACTTGCCCTCCAGTGATGGGGTCTTCAGGAAACTAGCAAGCTTGGGGGAGTCTCAAGAGGTCATGTATTGGACCTCCCTACCCTGGCATTGAAGCCTCAGTGACCCTACGAGCTAGGCAGTGCGCACACGACTACAGGAAATTGTTCTGCTCATTCTCTCTGGAAAAACAGTGAATACCTTTCAAAGTGGGTTTCTCTTCTGCCTATTCCTTACAATCGTTGGCAAAAATAAAGCTTGGCTTCAGAGTGACTTTCTGTCCTTCCTGCTCCTAGAAAGGGTCAGAAAATTTACCCCACTTAAAGCATCGTAATCATTGTCATCTTCAATCTATGAGAAAATCTGTTTGGATTTTGATAACTCTTCAGTTAAAAACACACTTCTTTCTTCACCATTTTATCTAAGCCTTACATTCATTATGGAAATTAAGTAAGGCATGATTCTTGCCTCATTTGAGCTCAGATTCCATAGTCCTGCCCAAGGCCACACAGCTGGAAAATGGGGACAAGTCTAGCACTGATACTTCCCTTACTAAAGTAGCATTTTCTAAGTCATATGAAAACCAGCATTGCGACTTTGAGGAACCCGTAGTCTAATGGGGCTTTTCTACTTCTCTTGGCTCTAACGTATTGGAAGAGTGTGAGTACGTCCTGAGTTTAAAGAAATTCAAACAGTCCAGACTTCAGACAGCTGACTTCAGGCCTGGCAGACTGAAGGGGGTGTCATCCAGAATTGAGGCACAATCTTGATTCTTTGGGAATCTGCTGTGTGCAGGCAGAGCCATGGCCATGTTCTTGGAAAGGGATTGAAGTTTAGTCCACAAGTAAATGTCCCTAATGCTATTGGTTTGGGCACTGGGCATTGGGCATTGAGCATAGAATCCATGTCAGAAGAATCACACCTGTATTTTATACTCCATGCTCACAGATCCCTCTAGGGCTGCTGGATGCTCTCATTTAAGGTGTAAACATTTAGAGGTGCATAGATATATAAAGTATTAATATCATTCATTTTGTGAGGGGAGAAGAAGAAACTACAGAACTTTAAAGTTTTGTTTTTTCTCTTGCCCTTTGGCCTGAAATTCTGTGTTGAGCTGTTTGAAATGTATTCTTTGTGCAGCTGAAACTTGCAAAGTTCCTCTTCCCTTCCATGCTGTACTCTTTTTTCTCTTTTCCCCTCCTCTTTTTCCTTCACATTCCCTTTCCTTCCTCCACCCATTTTCTTTCCTTCTCTTTTTTCCCCTTAAAGTTTCAACTCTTTTTATGCACGGGACCAAGGCTGACACACACAAAAGAGGAAGACAATACATAGGGAGGCTCTAGTCTGCACCTTCTCATTGGACCACTTGAGTAGAAATCTTGTTGCCTCAAAACACATAAAAATACACTAAATTGAAAAGTGGCTATCTACCCCATAGCTAGGAGAAGCTGCCATCCCAAAGTGTAAGTTCGTCTTTAAGGGTGGAGAGAGCATGTAATTTTGTTATCTCTAGGACCTGAATTCGCCAGGAAGGAAGAGTAAGGATAGTGGGTTGGGTCGGGTATCCAGATGTGGACTGCTGTTGAAGAAGGGAAAGTCTCAATGGGAACAAAGCAGGCAAGTGTTATCCTAGTGATCTCCACAATCCCAGGGAAACGTCTTGGGATTGGTAAGCCTTCCCTTGTATTAAAAAAAAAAAAAAAAGACACCTGTTCCATGTGATGCCCTATTTAATAATGGTGAAAACTTGACCCAGAAATTCTCCTAAGCTATGAAAAATGCCTTATCCCAGGCTTAACGGGGCATCTCGGGATTTGGTGACTTTCAGTAAATACCCATTAAGCCCTGTGGTCTAGTTTGCCAATCTGCTCAAATTCAGAGGTGCTTAATCTCCCATAAAATGTGACCAGTGACAATTTATTCAACAGAAAGTACTTAGAACTTCCTCTGCAAAGACAATTAAAAAGTCATCATACTGTATATTGTACGTCCAGTGCATGCCTTGTCTTAGGAACTTGATCTATTTTGTCCTCTTTGTGTCCCAGAAGGTCAGCATGGCTGTGTCCATTTCTCGCATGGAAAGCTGCTGTTACAAGAGGTGATGTCACTTGCCCAAGATGGCAAGTGATTGAACTGTTTTGCTGGCTGTCCCTTCTGGTAGCAGACTACTCGGTGCTGCTCTGACCTTCAGGGCATTTACCCCATCTATCCGCTGCCACATTGTCATTCTGCTTATAGATCAGCTGGGCCTTGACAGTGATAGAGAAAGAGCCAGTGTAGCAAATAAAAACAGAGAGGCGTCTGCACACATGAATCATTTTTTATTTAATAGGCAAATCAATTTGAATACAGCACATCTAAATAGAACTGCATTAGGCTAGTAATTCTATTGCCTTCATGACAAAGAGCAAATTAGAGCAGGCACATCTGAGTAGCCTTGGGAATAACCTGGCATTTTACATATTGTTCTATTCCTTGCTCTGAAGCTACAAGGTAGGTGTTTGTGTAGATGTTAATGTGCATTGGTAGGTGACTGTGATCCTGTGTCCCTGTTTCCAAAGAACTCTTTGATCCATCCACAGACAGTGTACAAGGTACTTTGTATTTTTCTTTGCTGGTTAGGCTGTTTTGGCTTTTTTTCTCTCTCTTATTTTCTTGGCTCCCATTTCAGGCAAACTATTGAATTCTTTCAGTACTGTTTTATAGAGTCCCCACCCTTTGCTGGAGAATAGATGCATTTCATTCATTCACTGGAGACTTCATTTTCTCTCTTGTTGAAGAGGTATACGTGAGGATGAATCTACACAATGCTTCATTATATAGCAATGCTCTAGCTCAGTCTGCCATAACAGAATGCCATAAATTGGGTGGCTTCTTGGCCACAGAAATGTGTTTTTCACAGTTCTAGAGACTGGAAGTTTAAGATTCGGATGCCAACAAGGTCAGGTTCTGGTGAGGCCCCTTTTCCAGGTCTGCAGATTGGTGACTTCTCTCTTGTATTCTTTCATGGTGGGAAAGGTGAGGGGACCAGATCTCTGCCCTCATTTTATAAGGGCATTAATCCCAAATATGAGAACTCTACCCTTATGATGTAATTTTCTCCCAAAAGCTCTACCACCAAATACCGTCACATCGGTGATTAGATTTGAACATATACATCCTGGGGAGACATAGGCATTCATAACAAGGACATATTTAGGCACCTGCCTCTGCTTTGACCTTTTGTCTCTTCATCTGGTGAAAAATTTACCTCATGGGTTTGTTATGATAATTAAGGAAAGTAACACAATTGAAAAGCACTTTAGAACTTGTAAAATGCTGTATAATTGTTCCCTATTATAAATAGGTAATTAATAATTGTTACCTTATAAAAATATTAGTATTTACTTTAGAATATATATATACATGTATGTGTGTGTGTATATACGTGTGTGTGTGTGTGTGTATATATATATATGTATACATTTACATGTATCTGCACTCGTGTAGTTTATATGTTAAGTAATTTGGAGGAGTTCACCCATTTGTTTCTCCACAATAACCCTGAACAGTGTTATTTATTTTAGAAAATATATATATGTGGGTGTATATATATATTTACTTATTTCCAACTGTGTAGATAATGGATTAAGTAATTTTGAGGAGTTTACGCATTTGTTCCCCCACAATGAACCTGGACAGTAGATGCAGAAAGTCTCTTAACCTCCTTGAATAGATCTGTCTTCTTGAAATATAACTTAACTTTGAAGTACTGTTTAGGGATTATAGTACATCTCGAATGCATTGGAGGATACAGAGATAAATTCCTTTAAAACTTAATATACAGCATAATTAGGATTACCACATTTTTCTAAAACTTAAGACAGTGTTCTTTATAACACGCGTTATATGCAGGCAGCACCTTTGAGAAGAGAGGGATTCTATGGACACTAGGAAGTACTTGCAGAAGGAAGGGTGGCTTCTGTCTTTTACTCCCCATTTTTCTCCTCATTGTTTCTAGGAGAGGGGGATGACAGAATGCTTCACAGAGGAGGAGACAGGTGAACATGTGAACAGGTGAGAAGTTGAGCAGGCACTGCATAGTAGCCCGGGAGCACTTCCCACAGAATGAGTGACTTAGCCAAGATCTTACAGCTTGTAAGGGATGGAGGTTTTCTGAGATACCAGCCCAACTCAATGAACAAAATATTCATATGATGAGGTCTCGTTAACTATGATTTTGAGCTTTGGAAACTGGAAGGCAACTTGGGGCCATTAGTCTCCTGGAGCAGGAAAGAACACTCAACAGGAGTGCAGGTACAGGACAACTGGAGTTCATGGGTTCCTGCTGATTCTTGTTTTGCAGAGAGCAGCAGCCTGCATTCAGCCTGTGTCCATGACAGCACTGTGCACAGCCGGGTCTTTCAGATCTTATACCGGAATGAAGAGGTGCCCATAAATGATGCTGTGGTCTTCCGAGCTCATTTGCTCTTAGATGGTGAAAGGGTAAGTCATGAATCTGCCACAAGCACAAGTGGCTGTTCCCTCTTGTGGCTATTCTCTCTCACTGCTAGGTAAATGGTGAAAGAAGCTGGTACAGATTTACTCTGAAATCTCTCAGAGATTAGTGCTTTCAGTGCACACATGCACTTATTTATATATTCATTGTTTTACTCATTTTCTTATTCATCTAATTTGCTTGTTCCATGTAGTTTCAAGTGCAAACAGTGTCCATCGACTCACTTACTGGGTCTCTTCTTCCCTCCTCATTTTCCCAGTTGTGCATCAGTTCAGGCCCTCTGCAGTGAGTCAATCAGCAGGTGATTTTGAGTAACTATTTTTTGCAGGGCTCTTTGTGGGTCCCTTGGATAAGGAACAGAAGTGGAGAAGGCAGCAGGAACTCTACCTTGAAAGGGTTGATAATTTAGCAGGAAAACAGATAAATAAGCAAATACCTTGGTAGGTGATGTAAGAAATTTTCTCTGTGGAGATGACAGAGCTGGTGTTCATCAACAGTTACACAAAAGAGCTGGCTTCAGATGCACATGCTGAATTCACCAGAGACAGAGGAAGGACATCTAATGAAAGGGAAACAGTGTCATTTCAAGCCCAGAGGCCTTGGGGGATTCACTTTATTAGTTGGAAACTTGATTGAAAATTTTCTATCCATTAGATTAATACATTTCAAAAAAAAATGTGAAGCTCACACTTTTGATCTGCCTCCCTCACCCTCACTTCTTATACCTGTTGCCACATTCCAGCTGATTTTTTCCTGCTAGATTATACTGAGAATTATATGAAAGAGTATTTCTATTTTACGAAGATCTAATGAGAGCCCCCCTACTTGCAGTCCCCATGTGGTGTATGTGACAGCTCCTATTGGGCATCTGTTACAGCACTCCTCTCAGGCTCCTTGTGCACATCTTCTCTTATCTAGGTAGTGACCAGATTCCCCTGTGTGGCTAAAATTGAAAAGCTGCCTCTCATTTGTTATTAATTAACCCATCCATTCCCTCAAAGCTTTATTGAGCACTCACTAAGCACTGTGTATGTGCTGGAGGTAAAATGGTGAATCTGAAAATACCCCTGGCATTTTGGGCTTATATTCTAATATTAGATCAATATATCGCAATGTAATTAGATAAATTGATCGTGCATATTCTATCACCAAGCCTTCTTACTGCCACATGCTCAGCTCCCTAGTCTCTGAGACACACTCGTGAGGGAGATAAGGGTAGGAGTTTGCGCCCTCACTGGAGGTCCGGTGAAGCTACAGTTATACCCAAAGTGGAAGAGACCTCGTGATGGTCCTACTGTGTAAGGCAGTCTGTTGCCTCATGACAGATACTCGGATAATGAGAATGTGAAGAGCTCAGCACAACCTTCAACACAGACTTCACCCAAAAAGGTTATTCCCTGGAGGACAAGTGACAGACAGGAGAGGCCTTCCAGAGAAGTCAGTGTAGAACTGAGACCCACATACCAAGGAAGATTCAGGCATGATGCCAGCTCGGGGAGATGTTGGCTCTGGAGGAGAGCACAGTGAGGACAAAGGGCCTGAGGTGGGAATGCCATTGGGGTGTTTCAGGAAAAGCACTAAGGCTGAGGTGACTTGCATAGAGAGGGAGGGAAAAGGAGTAGGAGATGGAGAGGGGAGGCCCAGCGTTGTGGGCCATGACAGGGAATTTAGGGCTTATTCTTGGACAATAGAAATCCATTGATTTTGTTAGAAGGGTGCAGTGGCACAATTTTTATTTTAGAATTTTGTCATCCCTACTCCAGTCAGCAAGCTCCACAGGACTGGATCTCTCTTTTCATTCTGAGTGCCCCAGTGGCCACAGGACTACATTGTGGATACCTGACATGGAGTGGATGACTTAGTTGCTGAATGAATGAATTTAATTTGCAATCCCTTATTTTGAGGGCCTCTGCAAACTATTCTTTCCAAACAGAGATGAGCATCCACAGTGTGCCCTGTTTGATGGCCCTTGGCTGTCAGTACCACAGTTGTGCCCACACCACAGTTGCCTACTTCAATAATACGTCAAGGAACACATATCCCACTCACTGGAGTCTTCAGTTAACCTGACCCTGTCTCCCTTGTGCCATCACAGTGACTGCAAAAATTTTATCTGTAATCAAAATTTAAAAGAACAAACCAAACTCCTATTAGCCATGCTGGCTAGCTTTTGAATACTCGCCCATTTCCCCTTTCTGCTGTCCCACATGGGATGTGCCCCAGGAGACTGGCTGCAACAACTGCTTGTCAGGGTCACCACTTGCAGGGCTCTGTACTGCAGACCCTGACTCAACAATGGAAGAATAAAGTGCACCGACTCACAGATGTTATCTTTGCCAGTTCGACTGAGTGTCCAGCCTACACACAGACTCTCTGGAGAGTGCTGTAAAGAGATAGTAGCCACCGGCCCTGACATGCTGACCTCCCTGCCTTTATTTAGCACACATTAAATGACAAAAACTATGGGTCAACACCAGTAGAGGTTAGAGATTAAAGGATAGGTTCTGAGCCCTAAAGCAAACGCCATTAGTAATATCCCTGGTCGAACTCCCCATGAGAAAGCCATTGCGAATGATCAAAGGTTAATTTTAGAAACAAATGAGTAAACAAGCTAGTTAGGTAAACTCTCCACATTCCTTTGTATTTGTGCCCTAATCTCTCTGGCTCCTGCAAAGAGACTCTGGCTGCCTTCAGCCAGATTTATTGGAACTTATGCAATCCCCCCCCCAGGCCTTCCAAGGGGGTTTGTAACTATATTTGGTAACTTTCTCTAATATTTTCCTTTAAATATTTCTGCCACCACCCAACTGAATTCCCACAACTACTCAGTCATGTATTTATCTTTTGGTTTCCATTGAGTTCAGTGTATGAGAGCTTCTGCAGGTGACTATGAGAATAATAGGCCCAGAATGTTCATTCCCCAGGCTCCTTCTCTGCTGGATTCTGTAGGCTTGGCTGTGTTCAGCATTGTGCTACAATCTGCTTATACCAGCTTTTGACAGCCACAGGTATAGACCTATTTCCAACTCCCTATTTAGTGACTTCACATTCAGAACTTGAAGCCAATTGTGGTGAAAACATTTAGACCAAAGAAACTGCCAGTGCTACAATCAGTGTTTTCTTCTTTTTTAATTTTTCTCCAGAGAGCCAGTTGTTAAACCTTTACCACCATACCGCTTGCTCTTTCCTTCTTCCAAAGGCCCCAGCTTCAGTCAGGGAGACACGCTCCCTGTAGCTTTCTCTCAATTCTGATAACCACTGCCTCTGCTTGACTCTTCAGGCCGAGGGTGATAAGGAAGTCCTGTTGTTACTGACCTTGAAGAACTGAGCCATTGTTAGTTGGTTTTTCTAAATCTTCCACACACTTTGTAAATCATCCCTTTGATGAATTGTACTTGGAGTCCTCATTTTGAGTGAATCCTCTATTTCCTTCCTGGACTCAAGTTGATATCTTTAGTTTAGGAAACAGTACTCTTAGGTTTCCTAGAGTGGTTAAAAAACAAAACAAACCAAAAAAAAAAAACACACACACAAAAAAAAAATCCCAGTTAAACAGACTGTAAGCTCAAGGTCCACTTCCCCAAACTCCAATAAGAAAACAGTGCTCCATTTATTTCCCATGGCCATTGCCCTTTGGGCTGTTGATCTCAAAGAGCTACCCTGGTGGAGTGCTTATGGAAAACCAATGATGGAGGCTGGGTTTGGGCATTATTCAGGTATCCTGGCCATTGCTCCATCTTAATTCCAACAGAGAATTGTTGGAATTCTGACTACTTAAAGCCTTCAAGTTTGACCTTCCCAACCCTCAACCTTAGTTCATGTGAGGTTGTAGCCAGCCTTAGTTCTCAAGTTGAACAGGGAGTCTGTTTCACATTACATGCTGTTTTCTTCTTCCTATCAAATTTCTTATCTCTGTAAGCTAATAATTTATTATTGTGTTGGGGGTAATCCATATGGCAGCAAACAATGTCACAGCTGATGGTTATATACAAATCAGGGATAATAAAAGTTGATTGGATATGTCTGTAAACACTGTATATTTGGAATGGATGTATTAACACTTTTTCAGTTCGTATCAGTCTGCTTATGACAACCAAAACACTGCTTATAGCCAGTTGGCCAGAAATTTTGTTCATGGATGCTCATAGACATCACTGTGAACCACAGTCATTTATGAAATGCCTGTTCATCAAACAGATGATTCCACATGCTATCAGAAATTCAGATACAAAGAAGATTCAATTGTGCAATGACGTCACAGATAAGTACAAGAGATTACCTTGGACAGAACTAATCACAAGTTAAGGTGCACGAGGAGATATTGTAAAAACAGTTGCAAAGAGTGAGTCTGGAGGTAGTGTATGTATTTTATTTATATACTCTGTGTAATCTCACAGATGATTTGGGAAGGCTTTCAAAATGCATAGAATGGTTAAAAAAAAACTATCAATGGAATGAGGCAGAGTAGAGGAAAAACACCTACAGGAAAACAAAGGCTGGGGCAAATGTAGCAGACCAAAATGCACAAACATCCTCTGAATATTTGCTAATGGAGACCCACACATCGAGTACTAAGCTCCCAGCAGGCAAAGAAGAAGATACAGTTATTAACAGTGAAATGCTTACCATTCTGAGGAAGAAGAGGAAAAGATTACAAGTTAAACACATTTTATGAGTAAGATTGCATTTTCATAGGCTTAAAAAGGAAAAGCATTTTCCAACGTGTGATTCCTTAGTGCGCCGGCATCACAGTCCCCTGGCAGTACTTGTACAAAATGCAGATTCATAAGCCCATGCCAGACCTAGTGATTCAGACAGAGGTAGGTTTGGATTTTTGGCTGGAAGTGGAGAGAGGGCTGAGTTTTGATAAGTAGAAATGGGCAAGATATTCCACAGTAGGCAGATAAAAGCTCCTGAGACAGACAACAGCAAGGGCCATGTAAAGCGGGAAGGCAGAAGGCAGATTTGGGAAAGAAAGCATTGTTGCTGATGGACTAGGAAGTTGCAGGGACACAAAGCTAGAAAGGAAGGTTGAGGACACAGCATGGAGAGCCACGGATAATCTGCCGGAGGTCATGTTTTGCCTTTTCTAAAGGTAGGAGTCTCCTTCAGGACAGAAGGAGGAGACCTGGCATTTAGAAAAGTCGGTCTGGTAATAACATAGAAAATGGGGCCCAGGAGACCAAGAGCATACAGACAGGTGTTGCTATAGTGCATGGCATGTTTGTGAGCTTCGTGGCAGAGGTCATAACTGCGTGAACTGAAACTGTGTGAGTTGAAAGGGTGAGCTGCATGGCCACCAAGTGCAGCCCTCATGACTGGGTTCAGATTGAACATAGGAGATGGCAGGTATCTTATAGAGAGGAATGATGAATGGAAGCTGACTCTGAGATTTGGGCATGAAACGGGCTTGGAGTTATCGATAGTCCAGGGTAGTTGGGAGAAGAAAAGCTTCTACTGGGAAGTGAAAGGAGTTCAGGATGAGTTATAAGAACAATCACAGGATCTTAGCACTAACCGCATCTTATACCTATAAAGTATGTGCCATATGGCAGTCGCTGTGCTGATTTCTTTGGAATATCTTACTGAATTATTGCAACAGCATGATGAGGTGTTTTACTACTTTTGTCTTACATATGAGGATACAGTGACTTAAAGAAGTTATTTATCTAAAGTCACACCACCCAGGTGTTGTAGAGCCAGGGTTTGAACCTGGGCAGTCCTATCATAAAGCCTGTGTTTGTGACCAGTACGCAAGACCATTGTGTGATGTTGGTGGAGGAATGGGTCCTTCATGTGGCCAGGCCCCCTAGTAAATTGAAAATGACAGCAATAATAATAGCTAACCTTTGTCGACAAGTTCAATTGTGAACAAAGCTCTTTACACTTTAACGTTTTAGTTCACACAATAACAAGCTTTGCGAGGAAGTGTAATTATTTTACTCCCACTTGATGAATGAGAAAACATCAGAGGTTGACTGTCCCCAGTCATAGATACAAAATGGTAGAACTAGGAGTTGTACACATGTATCTTGATTTCACAAGCTGCCCTCTTAGCCATCAGGCTGTAACAAAGCTCAAGACGGAAGTTAAGAATGGAGGATGAAACAAGAGGGTCACCATTATGAGTTGAAACCAAGCTGTGAGAGAATGTGTAACCTAGAACACATATTTGACCGTGGGGAAAGGCTGAAGAAGGGGAGCCCTTGACAGCATCTAGGATGTGGGACTCTCTCACTAGCCGAGTTTGGGAAAATGCCTTTACCACACCGAGCCTCGGTTTCCTCATGTTATAAATGCAGGACAGTATTTCCTAACTCATAGCTTTATCCACATTAAATAAAATAGCATATGTATTATGTGTTATATTGTTATACATAATAGTATATGTATAATGATAGTTTATTGCCTGCAAAATAATAACTCTTCTGTAAATTAGCTTCTTAGGTTATTTCTACCAGTTTGCAAAACTGCTTCCTGGTCATGAGAAAATGACCCTTGAATGAAGATAATGAGTCTAACTGAGATAAGGCAGAATAAAGGAAAATCATATGTGTATATGTGGGATGTGTTGTGTATGTGTGTGTGTGTGTGTGTGTGTGCGTGTGTGTCATTTTGAAGGGAGAGGCAGGAAGTCAACAACCAATTATGAAATAAATGTTTAGAAAAGGCAGTGACTTCATTCTGGAATATCTTGCAAATGAGATTCATTGAAGCTTTTGTAAAGTCATAGCCCATCTCAATTGAGCCACAGCTTAACCAGGCTGATGATGCCTCTCCCAGTTCCCAAGGAATTGCAGAGTTAAAAACTGGAGTTTGCACTGAATTTTCATTGCCCAGGCAAACGAGCGTTCAGAAGCTAGCTGGGAAGCTGACTTCACCGGTCTCCCTTCCTAGTGACAAGAGGCTGGACTGTATTGCTTTCCTTGGTTTGAAGCTAGGTTCATGATTATGCAAAACAAAGCTAGGAACGGAAGTTATTTATAGTACTTGGATTCAGCAAAATGTTAACTTTTAAATGCTTTTTTTAAATAACAAATTTTGCACCCTGGAGACCTAAAGATAAATTCCATCTGTATATCTCTTTATGAATTATGCTTAACCAGGAAGACATTTCCAAAGAGATCTTTGGATAAGAGATTTCCATCCCAGGAAGATGAGGATATTCTTGCAAAGAAACAAAAAACAGAAAAGGTGGTGATTGGGAAAGAGCTTTATTTATTCCTCAAAGATGCGTTGATACTTTCTATGTAGCAGACACTATTTCTGGAGCAGGGGATTGAGGATGAATTAAGACTAGTTTCTCTCTTAATCATACACAGATTGCTATGGACGCTAAGCAAGAAAATAGCCAGGGGCTTTTAGCCACAGGCCAGATCCGTGTCAGTGAATACCGTGAATGGTGGCAGATGCAATAGCGATTACCTGATTCAGTTTCTAAATGCCAGCCCAGCACTCCCAAGTCCAGGATTTTTTTTGTTGTTGTTGTTTTGGTTTTATTTTTTTGGGGGGGAGGGGGTTCTTTTTTTTGTTTTTTAGAAGCTGAAAACCCATAATACAAATATGAAATTGCCTGAATTTTAAATGTTTGCAATTTTTTCAAAGCATTTTCAAAAATACTATGGGGACTAAATAAGACACATTAGAGACACATCAGCAGACAATACCTGGCTCACAGGTTTCAAGGCTGTAACACCCCTTCGAAAATTGTTGTAGGCCCAGTTAAATACCAAGATAGACAAGATGCAAGCTGTTGTGGTTACAGATGAAAAGGGCTCCATCCTGCCTGTGAATGAGGCGGAGGCCAAGTCCTACTACAGGTGTGCAGAACTGACTCGGGTTGACCTCTGAGTAGAGGTGGTGGCACGACCTGGTATTTAGCAAGTAACTCCCCTTGAGTTGGGGGTGATGTGAGAAAAGGAGAGCTAGGGGTACCATCTTCCAGGTATATGTGAGAAGCTGGCAGGAAAAATTAGAGATTCCTGTGTTTAAAAAGTATATATTTTTTTCTTAAAGCTAAGAATAAAAGGGTCCATGGGTAGGACATAAAATGCCGGTGTCATAAAGTGTAAATGGTTAAATACAATGGATTTCAAGACAGAAATGAAGAAGTTGCTTTCTTAGGAAGCTGAAACACCTGAAGAAGTGACTACTTCCCCAAACATCAGCTTCCCCTCTGCACATGTGGCAATGGTGCCTGCCCTGAGAGGATGCTGAGGGTTAGAGATTACAGTGCTCGGACTTACTCCCTTTGCTAGCCAAATGGAATTTCACTCTGAGCTCACTGCTCCCTGCTTCCCAATGCAGATGCTACAGAATACTTCACTCTTGCCCCCAATAGGATTCCAAATCAAATCCAAATGAGACTCTCACAAGTCCTGCATAAGGAAATTTGTTTAACTTTTTTTTTTCAAATTGGCTTTTCCCAAACTGGCTATGTAAGTTCCTTCAATTTTCTTTCCGTGAAATACTCCCAGATATCCTGTTCACCTGGAACTCTGTGGAACATGCATGGAAACTCTGCTTTAAGCATACATGGCATTGATTTTTGGACAAGATAGTGTTACTCTACTTTGGGAAACGGACCAGCTAAGTATTCATTTGGACAAGATTTGACTACTGAAGTCCATTCGACTTTGTTTCTTTTGCAGGTGGAAGATGCGCTGAGTGAAGTAGATTTTCAGCTCAAGGTGGATCTGCACTTCACGGACAGTGAACAGCAGTGAGTGTCATGGAATTTATTGAATTGTACTAGCACCCTGCTCTCCTCCTCCTTTCCCCAGTCCTGGATAGCCTCATAGCCATGAACCTCAGAAGTTCTCTCAGACAAGCATCTCCTGACAAGCTGCAATGTCCCTTACTCAGGGGTGCAGGCTAAGAAAGTCTGTGTGGTCATTTCAAACCACATGTATTTTAGGCAGGCAGCTCAAATGCATACACGGAAGTCTAATATACTCAGAAATCTCATAACTTGTTGGCTTTATTAACCGGCACCTTCTTGTGACTGACACCTTCACACATCTTACAATGTGTTATTAATTGGGGGTTTTAGATTAAGGACTGTATGAGGCTACAAATGGCAAATTCCCTTCTGAGTTAAAGGAGATTCTTCCAGGATTCTGCATCTTTGTGCTACATATCTGTTATTATGTTTCAGCTCTGAAACATGAAACTCCACTTATGTAAAACCTGCTCATTAAATAAGCAGGAGGCAACTTTCTTCTTTCTCGTAACTGCTTCCTTTCAGCTTCTTCTGTGGCCTTTTCTTCCTACCCTGGCTGAACTGTCAGGACACTAAGCTGGGATATTTCAGGTAAAAAGTAAATCATCCTTTTTTAGGTAAGAAAAGTACGGTGAAGCGTAACATCAGAACTCTAAACCTCACCCATTGTATAACTTATTTCTGTTGCTTCTTTTGTCTACTTCACCTCCAGATCCAGACGTTCCTAGGAGAGGAAACTCCCAATGTAGGAAAGGGGCATGATGGGGGGCTTCATATCCCCCCTTTCTTCCCCACTGAAGTTTGCAGGCTTTGCAGGGTCAGACACAGTAAGGAGGGAGACAGTGAAGGAAAGAGCAGGGATTCATTTGTAAGTAGGATCATCATATGGTGAACCCTAAATTGCCCTTAGGATGTTGTTGTGAATTCCTTAGAGACATGCTCCTTAGGTACTGCTGACCAGACTCTCACCCAGCCCCATATCTGCAGTTATCTGATGTAGTGATGCCTCACAAGAGGCCAGGTGACTCATTCCTTGCAGGAAGCTTTTGAGGTGGACACTTTCCCAAAGCACACACATCTGGCCCATGGGAAATGGACACAGACACTTAACCCCCATTCCACATATGTGGGAGCCTCCTCTGTAAAGTCTGTTTACTCTTCTTTAGACCAGTCCCACCACCTTCAGCTTCTTTCCTGATGGCTTTTGCAGAATGAGTTGAGCACCAGAAACAGCATTCACACTGTTCTAGGGGACACAGGGCAGTCTCCCTTGAAGACCTCCTCCCTTGGCTTAGGCAAAGGGAGGAAAACTCCTTCTCCCTCCATTCTGTTAGCAGAATCTCAGCACATACTGGCCAGTATTTGCATATTAAAGTCAATTCTCACTTCTGATCTCTGTAACCTCCCCAGCAAATGTTTTCCCTTTTCCTTTGGAGAATGGGGAATGGGGAAGCTGATGAGCCAATGCTGGCAGAGTTGTTCCCCCCATCCCTTCAAAGTTCAGACTTGGCCAGGAGTTGTGGCTCCTGCCTGTCAACCCGGCACTTTGGCAGGCTGAGGGGGAAAGATTGCTTGAGCTCAAGAGTTCAAGGTTACAGTGCATCATGATTGCACCACTGCACTCCAGCCTGGGTGACAGAGTAAGACCCTTCAAAAAAAAAAAAAAAAAGTTCAGGTTTCTTCTCAGAACTTCTTCCCCTTCCTCAAGGACTGTCCTGTCTCTGAAATATGTCTATTCCATTATGCGACTGTTTATAACATGAGGAGTTGAGTCCAAGGGGATTTGAACTAAAGATGGATGGATGTCTACTGAAGTGTCAGGGAATTGATCGTGTCTGGGCATTGAGAAGGGACATCCGCTGATGTGTAGCCTGTCTTGCCTGGTCTCTGGGCTGGCAGGAGTATCTGCCCATGATCCTGCCACAGTCTGGGTTCAGCTTCACAGATGCCTCACTTTTGTCTCTATCTGGACCGCAGCCCGGTGGCTGCCTGCTTTTCTCACCACATATGCTTTCTCCTTAGCAGCATAGTGCAGAAACGAGGAATCCTACCTGCTTCACCCCATTGCCAGGACTTATTCCAGCACCATACTAAACTCAGAAGCCCTAAGAGTGGCTGGCCTTCATCCTAAGTTATAAACTCAGAAGTAAAGCCCTGCCTTTATTGTGCTCCTATTTTTTCCTAACCATCTGGGGTTTCTGTCATTAATGCCTCCAGTAACCCAGCCCTACTCTATCACTCTGTTCCACTTCATTCCAAGACATTCATTCATACCTCTGTGGTAGACATTTCCACTTCATCACAGAACCCTGCTGCTAACTCCAAGCTTAGCCTAGAAATCAGCCTCCAACCTGCCCTCCATGTGGTAAGCCACAGTATACACAGTAAATGAGACCTTCTGTTCAGCAAAACAGAATGGAGAGCCTGTGTATAGGAGATTGGTTTAATTGAAGTATATAACCCTCAGCAACCTAGACTCTGTACTCATCAACTCTAAAACATTGGGGAAGTCCCCACACTTGCATAAATTTTAGTAGCTTCAGTTATAAGATTGATATCACTCTAGAATACATGGCTTGTAGGTCTGTTTGATGATTAAGAGAGACAATATGTGTAACGGGCCAAGTGTGCAAACTGCTGAATCAATGTCTTCTTCCTCTTTATGGCTTCCTAGGTGGAAGTGAGGCCAGGTTTCAATGTGTTCCTTCTGCTCCCAAGCACTTAATAATAATCAGAGTAAGGGTTTTCATGAAATATGATTAGCTACAAGGAACAGGAAGCCAGAGGCTGGGGAATATGAAAAATGCCACATTTTTTAATTTTCATAAATTGAGTTTAAGGATGACAAGGCATCTGTGGCATATCCTGGGGTGGACATTAGGCTCTGAAACATGACCATGTCATCTGCCTTCTTTAGCATCATGTAGGCCTGGGTGGGAACAAAATGGAGAAGCAGAGCCTCTCGTGTCAGGGACAGAAGAGCTTGGAAATTTTTCTTGTCTAGCAGCTCTCAATGCAGGCGGGAGGATTCTGACCCTTGGAGACATGTGGCCATGCCCAGAGACGTGTTCAATTGTCACAGCTGGGTAGGATGGTTGAGGGGAGATGTGAGATGTGAGCATGATAAAGGCAGGGCTGCACTTCTGAGTTTATAGATCAGGAAAAAGGCCAACCTCTCCTAGGACCTCAGAACAAGTCCCAGGAGTGGTATGAAGCAGACAATTGTCACACTTCAATACTGTCATCTAGTGAGTCAAGGCCAGAGATGCTGCTGCACACTGTATAGTGTACAATCAGCACCACCCCTCCCACCACAAGAAAGCACTATGCAGTCCCCAGAGTCAATGCTGTAAGCTGGCTGAGGAAAACCTGCTGTATTTAACCTATATTTGTACTTGTTATTCTGCAAAGACCCATAAGAACCTGTTTGCCCAGGCCTGGGGAGCTCACTCCTTCATATCGTAGCCCATTCTGCCCTGAACAGTTCTGCTGATTGGGAAATCCTTCTTCAGGGAACAATTCATTTATGTGCATCTGTCCTCAGTTGACTTCAGTTTTATTTCTTGTGGCCACCCAGACAAATCCTAAGTCTGGATGTCAGTTCAGATAAGAAACCTTCTTGGCCAGCCATGGTGGCTCACACCTGTAATCTCAGAACTTTGGGAGGCTGAGGCAGGAGGATCACTTGAGGTCAGGAGTTCAAGACCAGCCTGACCAACTTGGTGAAACCACATATCTACTAAAAAACACAAAAATTAGCTGGGCATGGTGGCGCACACTTGTTATCCCAGCTACGTGGGAGGCTGAGGTGGGAGGATTGCTTGAACCCAGGAGGCAGAGGTTGCAGTGAGCTGAGATTGTGCCACTGTACTCCAGCCTGGCAGCCTGGGTGACAGAGTGAGACTCCATCTCAAAAAAATTAAAAAAAAAAACCTTTGTTCATGTCATCTCAAGGTTAAATACCAGGGCTCTTTCCATGTGGGTTTTTTGTTTGTTTGTTTAATTTTGTTGTTTGCTTTAGTTTCCTTATAAGAACTCAGACATCCTCCTGTCAATGAAACGAAGTTTATCACCATCACTTCAGAGGTTGGAGACCTCCCTGCACCACCACCAGGAACTAAGTTTTATCTCCATTTTGGATATATCTATTTCAGAGCACAGGAGAACTACCACCTCTTTATTCTTCATTCGTTACTCTTACTAACGTGGCTTAAATTCTTGTTAACATTTTTGACATCTTTGCTGCACTGATGTGTATTTAACCTCCTGTTGTTCAAGCCCTAGGGATATATCTGCTATTCATAGGAACCTGTGTCTGACTGGATTCAAAGCAATATTGAGCAATAACTCAGAAACAGCTCTGAATCAGGAAGACCCGGTCCAAGATGACATTTTTGCCTTGTGGCTTTAATTAACTCGTGTTGGCTTTACTTCCTTTTCTACAGACAGAACAATACCAGTAAATATTTCCTATGATTGGGAAAAGTACCATGTTCAGTTTATAATAAGCTCTCAATAAATTGTAGTAAGAATTAAAATGAATGTAAATATTAACACCTTGCTGAGATTCATGGAGTGGTCCTCTCCCCATCAGGTTTCTTTCTGGTACAAGAGGACCATTATTATTATTATTATTATTATTATTTTTTTTTTTTTTTTTTGAGATGGAGCTTCACTGTTGTTACCCAGACTGGAGTGCAATTGCACGATCTCAGCTCACCACAACCTCCACCTCCTGGGTTCAAGCAATTCTCCTGCCTCAGCCTCCCGAGTACCTGGGACTACAGGCGCGCACCACCATGCCCAGCTAATTTTTTGTATTTTTAGTAGAGACGGGGTTTCACCTTGTTGACCAGGATGGTCTCAATCTCTTGACCTCATGATCCACCCGCCTTGGCCTCCCAAAGTGCTGGGATTACAGGCGTGAGCCACTGTGCCCGGCTGGGGACCATTATTTATATTCAATCTATGGAGTCTCCCTGAGCTCCAGTGATTTAGCTGGCTCTTTCACTTGGCCTTCATTTGCACATAAGCAACAAGGGTCTCAAGGAAGCAAAGCCCATGGTGCTGCGTCTGGAGAGCACCCTTCATCCCACCCTTTCCATGCTTAGTTTCCTTATCTATGGATGGAGGATAAGCATTTCCTCACTGCTCTCCTCATGAAAGATGCCCCTTCCAGGTTTCCCTTGTGATCTGCTTCAGAGAAATTTGCACAGCCCAAACGGCTGGTTCTCAGGGTTTGAGATTAGTGCCGGGTCCTTCTGGGAGCTAATATGGCTCCAGGTTTTATTTAGGTAACAAGCAGTCTTCTTTTTATCACCAAAGATGCTGTTGGGCCTTGTGTGCAGTTGGTTTCATCTCTTAGTCTCAGATACATGTCAGTTACAAAATCCTGAGGCAGATGTTGGGGAATCCTTGATGAAACTAGTCAGACTATTTAACCGTTGTGCTTTGGGGGTCATTCATTCTTTTTTTAGTTCAGTCAGTCAGCTGTTCATTTTAATACATATTTATATTCTCAATATGTGCCAGATACTAGGCTAGGTATTGGGAATGTAAAGATGCATTAGTCATAGTCCCTGGCCTTAAGAGGTAGGAATCTATTAGAAAACACAGGCTCACACAGTCAGTGCAACATTATGAGGAGAGCACTGGACATCTGGACATCTGTGGGGATAATGAAAAAATAAGTGGGAAAAGCAGGCTTTAGTGTTGAAGAGAGTCTTGAAAAGCTAGTCTGGGCTTCTTATTCATCACTGACAGGTGAGCTTGATGTCCGTGACAGTGGAGCATGTCACCAGATCTGTTGTGTAGCAGCTGTGTGACATCTAGTGATACCTCTGAGCCCTGGTTTCCTTGGTGTATGCACGTTGCTTGGGTCATGGAGAGGCTTAATACAGACCTTCTTGGATGACAGCAGGGGCAACCCACCATTTCTCACATGCACTCACATGCTTGCCTTCCAGGTTGAGGGATGTGGCCGGGGCACCGATGGTCAGCAGCCGCGCCCTTGGCCTGCACTTCCACCCCCGGAATGGTCTGCACCACCAGGTCCCAGTCATGTTTGACTATTTCCACCTGTCTGTGATCTCAGTGACCATCCATGCTTCCCTGGTGGCTCTGCAGCAGCCCTTGATCAGGTATGAAGTTCGGAGACAACCCTGATTTGTGGGAACTTCCTTCTATGTCAGGTGTGGTGGAGGGGGAGGGAGTTTCCCAGGAGAGATTGGCACGGGCAAGGGAGTTTCTCTAAGACTATAGGTTTAAGCTTTGAGCCTCACTGAGGAGCATGGGAGAGAGGAAGGAGGGGGTCCCACCAGGAGACTGTGGGATCCAGAAGTCGAAAACCTGCAAACTATGGCTGATACCAGAAAGACTTGGACTCTGGCTCCACATTTTTCTAACTGTGCCTTCTTTGAGAAATCACCTAATGTTCCTGAGCCACATAATCAGCTCTATAACAGGAACACTAAGGTGTATCCCATCTACGTAAGACTTCAGTGAATCTCAAATCAAAATGGTGCCAGGCACGGGGTAGGGGCTTAGTTTTCTTTTTCTCCCCCAAGTGGTTATTTGTTCAAATGTGGACAGTCCATTCATATGGGTGTTTTGTTTGTTTGCTTGTTTTTGAGACAGAGTCTCTCCCTTGTTGCCCAGGCTGGGTTGCAGTGGTGCAATCTTGACTCACTGCAACCTCCAGTTCCTGGGCTCAAACAATTCTTCCTCAGCCTCCTGAGTAGCTGAGATTATAGGCGCATGCCACCATGCCCAGCTAATTTTTGTATTTTTTAGTACAGACAGAGTTTCACCAGGAGTTTAAGGCTGGTCTTAAACTCCTGACCTCGGGTGATCCACCCTCCTCGGCCTCTCAAAGTGGTGAAATTACAGGCATGAGCCACCATGCCCAGCCCATTCATGTGGTTTGATTCGTTTTTCCAGAACGTGTTGAAGATCCTGCAAAGCAATGAGTTTATATGAATGGCCTAAGTGGAGGCATACAGCTGACAGCAGCCAGCACATTGTCCTGTGCTCACCTGTCTTTCTGCTTACTCCCAGCATGGCCAGATAGGTGCATCATATCAATTCAAAACATTACACATGGGCAAAAGTTTCATATGTGCAATGTTTATGCATAGAATGTTGCAGCATGGAATTTCTGATAGGGATCTTCCCTAGTTTCCCTTTTATGAATGGCTTCTCAGTGCTGAGAGTTTTAGTGCACATACAGGAGACTTGAATTTTCACTATGTTTGCTGTTTCTGTCCTGAAGCCCTTGTTCTTTGCTGGGGTCAGAGAGTAGGAAATGAGTTACCCAATCTGAGCCCTGCAACATGACCAGGAACTGCTGCCCCTAGAGTTGGGATCCAGTAACAACACCCATCTGCTGGGTTTCTATCCTGGCTCCATTATTCTTTTATTCAATGGGTATTTACTGGGGGCCTGCTGTGCTCTAGGAAAAGTGTAAGGGAATATGCAGTACATCCTACTATGGAATATAAAGATACTTTGGAATATATGTTTTCCTCAATGGGTTCACAGTCCAAAGAAGTGGACCCATTTGCATATAAGAAATTATAATATGGTAAATGCTGTTGTGGTAGAGTTTGGTAGAAAATGTTACAAGATTCACAGTTATAGGAACAAAGGACAGCAGCCCTGATCTTGGGAAGCGACAGGAGATGTAGAATCCAGAAAGCAGCAAAGAGTACTATCATCATGTGAAGAATATTCCCAAAGGATATTCCCTCGCTTCTAACACACTGCAAGGCTTACCACATCACATCCTCAAGGCAGAATTAAGGGATGATCTGTCTGTCCTCCATGAGGTCAGGCTAGTGAGGTCAGGTTCTGGGATTACCAAGCTGTCACTGCTGAAGATGTGGCAACAGATGGTGATAGACAGCCTGGGGTAGGAAAGGCAGAGCTTCCTGCAAGGGGTTCTAGGGCCCTGGGATCAAATTGTTCTTCATCAGCTGCAGTCAAGACCAGCTTACTGTCTAGCCTTACCACTTACTTTTTGGAGATCCTTGGATAAGCCACCTAATTTTTCTAGCATCTGTTTCAACATATAAGTAAATGAATTAGTCTAATTTTCATGTATTATTATTATTTTAGACAGGGTCTTACTCTGTGTGTCACCCAGGCTGGAGTACAGTGACATAAATTTAATTTACTGCAACCTCTGCCACCTGGGCTCAAGTGATCTTCCTGCCTCAGCCCCCCAAGTAGCTGAGACTACAGGCAGGTGCCACCATGCCTGGCTAATTTTTGTCATTTTGTAGAGATGGGGTTTCACCATGTTGCCCAAACTGGTCTCAAACTCCTCAGGTCAAGCTGTTCAACTGCCTCAGCCTCCCCAAGTGCTAGGATTACAGGTGTGGGCCACCACACTTGGCTGAAATTTTTAAACAATGAGAGGTAATACTAACATGACAGGGATGATGAGGGGATGCAATGGGATGAAGTGTATAGTGCTGCCCATGGTGAAAACATGCTTGCTTCAATGTGGGTGTCACTAAGCTTTAGGCACTTCTAGAGAGGCTATGTCTGGAAGGTCTGAGATAAACAGATCAAGTCTGCCACCATTAGAGTCTCGGAGTCTGGCAGAAACACACACAGACAGTGAACTCTAATTCAGAGCAATACCTGTTAAATAAGGGGTGTGGGAACCCAGTGTAGGGTAGGAATTAAAGGGATGGCTTTTAGGATTAGACAGACTCATGTTACAAATCTGAGCCCCTGGTTGTTAACTCTGTTAGCTTGAACATGTGAGTTTCAGTTTCAGTACATATCAGAAAGCTTTTAGAAGGATTAAATGAGATTGTACATATAAAACCCTTGGCCCTTCATTCAGTTGATTAATATTTAGCACCTTCCATATTCCAAGCCCCCACCTAGGCCCCATGTGTAGCACTTAATAAGCATTTAATGAATGGTATGTAACCTTTAGCACAGGAAAGAAGCCATTCTGCTTCAGGGACATGAGAGAAATATTTCCAGAAGAAACAGCCTTTGTGCTATACTGAGAGCATAAGACTGTGAGAGTGAAAAGTGAATTTGGGATGGTAAATTGGAGTTATAGTTTAATACAGTAATTAATGGCACATTAAGGAATTGAGAATTTGTTTATTGTATAAAACAGAGGCACTGAAGGTTTTGAGCAGGAGAATTACCTTGTAAGATCTATGTTTTGTAAAGACTCCAACATCTGTGAGTTGGTTAGACTGGAAGCTGTGAGTTGGTTAGACTGGAAGCTGTGAGTTGGTTAGACTGGAGGCTGGTTTGGTGATGCAAAGTGTTTATGCAAACTGCCACCTGGGCTCAAGTGATCTTCCTGCCTCAGTCCCCCAAGTAGCTGGGACTACAGGCAGAGAGCAGGTGTATTAGTCTGTTCTCACTCTGCTATGAAGAAATAACTGAGACTGGGTTATGTATAAAGGAATGAAGTTTAACTGACTCACAGTTCCACAGGGGTGGGGAGGCCTCCGGAAATATTAAATCATGGTGGAGGGGGAAGCAAACATGTCATTCTTTACATGGCAGCATCAAAGAGAAATGCTGAGCAAAAGGGGGAAAAGCCCCTTATAAAACCATCAGATCTTTTGGGCACTCACTCATTATCACACAAACAGCATGGAGGTAACTGCCCTCATGATTCATTTATCTCCCACCAGGTCCCTCCCAATTCAAGAGTAGCTTTGGGTGGAGACACAGCTAAACCATATTATTCCTTTCTGGCCCCTCCCAAATCTCAAAATTCAAAACATGATCATGCCTTTTCAACAGTCCCTCAAAGTCTTAATTCATTCCAGCATTAACCCAAAAGTCCAAATCCAAAGTCTCATCTGAGACAAGGCAAGTCCCTTCGGCCTATGAGCCTACAGCAAAACCGAAAGCAAGTTAGTTATTTCCTAGATACCATGGGGGTACAGGCATTTGGTAAATACATCTATTCCAAATGGGAGAAGATGGCCAAAACAAAGGGGTTACAAGTCCGGTAACTAAATCTTAAAACTCCAAAATAATCTCCTTTGACTCCTTGTGTTACATCCAGGTCATGCTGATACAAGAGATGGGCATCCATGGCCTTGGGTAGCTCTGCCCCTTGACTTGGCAGGGTACAGCCTTTCTACCAGCTGCTTTCATGGTCTGGCTTTGAGTGTGGCTTTTACAGGTGCACAGAGCAAGCTATTGGTAGATCTACCATTCTGGGGTATGGAATATGGTGGCCCTCTTCTCATAGTTCCATTAGGCAGTAGCCCAATGGGGACTCTGTGTGGGGGTTTCGACCCTACCTTTTCCTTCTGTGCTGCCCTAGCAGAGATTCTCCATGAGGGCTCTGTTCCTGCAACACAATTCTGCCTAGACATCCAGAAGTTTCCATATATCCTCTGAAATCTAGGCAGAGATTTCCAATCTTCAATTCTTGACTTCTGTGCACCTGCAGACTCAACATCAAGTGGAAGATGCCAAGGCTTGAGGCTTGCACCCTCATGCTCAGCTGTACCTTGGCCCCTTTTTGCCACAGCTGGAGCAGCTGGGACACAGGGCACCAAGTCTCTAGGCTACACACAACAAGGGGGTCTTGGGCCCAGGCCCACAAACCCATTTTTTCCTTCTGTACCTCTGGGCCTGTGATGGGAGGGGAGGGGCTGCCATGAAGGTCTCTGACATGCCCTGGAGACATTTTCCTCATTTCCTTGGTGATTAGCATTGAGGCTTTCATCACTTACGCAAATTTCTATAGCAGGCTTGAATTTTTTTCCAGAAAATGGGTTTTACTTTTCTATTGCATATCAGGCTGCACGTTTTCCAAACTTTTATGTTCTGCTCCCTCTTGAACACTTTGCCATTTGGAAATTTCTTCCAGCAGATACCCTAAATTATTCCTCTCAAGTTCAGAATTCCACATATCTCTAGGGCAGAGGCAAATGCTGCCAGTCTCTCTGCTAAAGCATAGGAAGAATTACCTTTATTCCAGTTCCCAAGAAGTTCCTGATCTCCATCTGAAACACCTCAGCCTGGACTTCATTGTCCATATCACTATCAGCAATTTGGTTAAAGCCATCCAACATGTCTGCAGGAACTTTCAAACTTTTCCACATCTTTCTGTCTTCTGAGCCCTCCAAGTCTCTAGGGAATTCCAAACTTTCCCACATTTTCCTGTCTTCTTCTGAGCCCTCCAAACTATTCTAACCTCTGCCTGTTATCCAGTTCCAAAGTCACTTCCACGTTTTTTGGGTGTCCTTACAGCAGCACCCTTCTCTATTTGGTACCAGTTTACTGTATTAGTTGATTCTTATGCTGCTATGAGTAAATACCCAAGACTGGGTAATTAATAAAGAAAAGTGGTTTAATTGACTCACAGTTCTGCAGGGCTGAGGTGGCCTCAGCAAACTTACAATCATGGTGGAAGGAGAAGGAAATATGTTCTTTACATGGTGGCAGCAAGAGAAGTGCTGAATAAATAGGGGAAAGCCCATTATAAAACCATCACATCTCATGAGAACTTATTCAATATCAGGAGAACAGCATGGAGGTAACCACCCCCATGATTCAATTATCTCCCACTGGGTCCCTCCCACAACATGTGGGTATCATGAAAACTACAATTCAAGATGAAATTTGGGTGGGGACACAGTGAAACCATATCAGCAGGCTTCACTCTCCTTTTATAATGGGGGCCCTAATACTATTCTAAGGAAAATTTGGTTATCTTAGAAGTCTTAATAAAATGTGTAAACTTCTGACAGAAAGAGTCTCTTGCAAGTTTGTCTCAAGAAACCCTGCTGGAGTGAAACACAGATAGAAATTCACAGTAAGGTCTTAAACTTCTCCAGGATGGGGTATAAATAGAACTGTCTGTCCTCTGGAGTTTGCAGGAAGAACTTGTATCAGTTGCATCACAGCAGCTGGGAACAAAAAGAAACCTTTAAGCTTGTGGGAAATACTTGTCAAATAGGGCAAGCACTAGCTTTTCTAGAAAAGCAGTTTTTCGCAGCGTCAGTTAAGTCCAATCATCATGAAACAGGTGTGAAATTAACATTTAACCTCCAAAACCCCTTAGCCTTTACTAAAACAAGATGAAGCAAAGAGTCCAATTTTTAACTCCAAAATGAATATAATTGGATTTTACTTGAGGGATTCAGATCCACCAGAAAAGCTAATTAAAATCACCCTAAGTAAATAACCAGTTATTTTAGTTATTAATTTGCAGTCTGTCCAGTGAATGTGCCAGGAGTATCTACATACACACTTTCTACTTTTCTTCTGGAATGTTCCTTGTATCCATCTTATAGTTAAATTATGGAGTCGCTTCAGCTTGCAGTCCAAAACAAATCAGAATAATGATTCTATTTTGTTATATGTGTGGCGTTAGCAACATAACAGCTCCTAGCATTGATGGAAGCCTTGCGGCTTGCCAGACGCTGTACTGGACACTGTCCCTGGCTTATCCCCTAGTGGAACCCCACAACCACCAAATGGCTATGGGGCTGTTATCCAACCTTCTGACAGGGGGAAGAAGGTAGGGGGATTAAAAACTTGCTTCAGGTCACACAGCCTTTAGGGAGTTGAACCCTGAGAGGCTGACTTTATTGGCTCCCCACTGCTCAAACATACTCTAAGGATCATCTCTGGATACTTTCTTTTCACCTTGTTTGCCACGTAAATTGTACTCCTGCACACACTGGCCTGAGTTTTCCTCCATTATATTACATCTATCGGTTTGTGTTGCTCTCTAGACAAATGTCTTTAAGGTGAACCCACTGCCTGATATATGGTATAGGCCTAATAAATATTTGAGTAAATGAATTAAACAGAAATATAATGCAAATTTATTTTTCTGTCACTGTTTTAAGCAGGAATCTTTCTCTTGGATTAAATCCTTCCACAAATATTTCTTGAGTACCCACAGTGAGGATGATGAAGATGATGCCCCTGGGGCTATTTATTGTCAAGATGCTCTTTCCCATCAGAGACTTTAACTCTTACTGAGGGGCTAAAAGGTGCCTCGAAAATAGTATACACGGCTGGGCACAGTTGGCTCACACTTGTAATCTCACCATTTTGGGAGGCCGAGATGGGCAAATCAGGAGGTCAAGAGTTCGAGACCAGCCTGGCCAATATGGTGAAACCCCATCTCTACTAAAAAAAATAAAAAATAAAAAAAAAATAAGCTGAGCATTGTGGTCTGCACCTGTAGTCCCAGTTACTCAGGAAGCTGAGGCAGGAGAATTGATTGAACCCAGGAGGCAAAGGTTGCAGTGAGCCGAGATCGCACCACTGTACTCCAGCCTGGGCGACAGAGTGAGACTCCATCTCAAAAAACAACAGCAAAAAAGAAAACAGTATCCAGAATATGATAAAACATTCATTAGAAAATGAATAGAAGAGATCTAAAAAGATTATTATGAATATAAGTAAACTTTACTGATATATCAATTGATGAAAATCAAACAGGTAAAGATAGAGGAAGATGATCATAAACTCAAGTGTGATAAATTTGAATTATCACACAGCTTTTCCTAATATCCTTGGATCCTAAAATTGATCATTGCCATGACAATATGTCCATTAACCTTCACAATGAATCGCAGAGCTGGGCAGGAACTGCACGTTGTGAGCTGGGTAGGTGACAGTCTTCCCAGTTAGCGTTGATATAGCAAGTGCTTTCTGTCTCATGACAGTCTTTCACATCATATTAGACTCTTGTGTGAATCATGGAAGTAGATGTTTTTTGCTTTTCCACAAAAGAAGAGAGGTCCAGAAAGGGAGGAAGGGGTGGAAGGAGCAGAGAAAAGACTCAGACCTTGTCTGGTCGGAGTTGCCTCCTGAAAATTCCGTGCCTATGCCCCGCCTTTCCCTCTAGCGATATAAGCTTGGAGCTCTGCTTCAGTGTTTCTTACAGGTGTGTTGGCATTTAGGGTGGGCATTTACTTTCACACATTGTAGGATGTGTATCCCCTTTGACTTTCAAGCCTACGTGCCAGTTGCACCCTCTTTATTGTCAAGACATCCAAAAATGTCATATACAAATACCCCCTAGGGTAAACTACTCCTAAATGACTTACCCCAAAGGCTTCATAGGAATACCCCTCAAAGGAGCTGAGTTAATGGCACCATCATTTTCTTTACCTCCTTTTTCATCTTTCATTTCAATTCTCTTTTGTTTAGTTTTACTCGCCCAGGAAGAGGCTCCTGGCTTGGTAAAGGTGGCCCAGACACCGGACAAGAGCAGTCTATCATTTCTCTGGAAAACTTGGTCTTTGGAGCTGGATACTGCAAGCCAACTTCCTCAGAGGTAAGGTCTCAAAGGGGCAGTTGCTTCAAAACTGTCAAACTTCACTTTGCAGAGTGCATGTTCTATGAGATTCATGCTGCTTTGAAACATCCCCTTCAGAGATTTGTGTTTATTTGACTCTTCCTTTCACCATCTTTCCATCCCTTCTTTTTACCACTACAACCTCTATCAAACATAGTCTAAGGCCAAGCCCTGGGGTAGATACAGGGAATATGGTCTTCATATGATAATTCTTATTTGTGGTCCCTTGGAAGAATGTGGTTCTCTGGAGGTCAGGAGGCTGTGCTATGAGGGGACTACTCAGACTGTGTGATAACATTCAAAGCTGAGCATCAAAACCATGCCTGGCTTCAAAACCTGGCTCTCACTTTCATTTGTGCCCTCTCTGAACATCAGTTTTCCCACCATAGAGTGGACTCCCCAATAGCTAATGATCTCGTGGAGTGTTATATGTACCCAATGTTGTAATAAGTGTGAAGCTCCTAGTCCAGTACTCAGTACTCACTAGGTGCTCAGTTAATACGCATATCCTGTCCTTCCCCTTGTAATTTTATCCCAGGAAACATCCCTTACTCCTTGTGATGTGCAGAGGTTCAACCACACAGGGTATGACTCTGAGCAGATTTCTCCTGAGCCAGTATGTGCTGTGTATTTATTAGCAGCCTACTCCCAAATAACCAGCCTTATTTTTCAGGGTTCTCCAGAGAAACAGGACCAATACAGCCAATAGGTTACACACACACACACACACACGCATGCACACAGACACGTGCACGTGCACACACACACATATACATGAAGAGGTTTATTGTAAGCAATTGACTGACATGATTTTGATGATTTTGGAGGCTGAGAAGCCCCCAGATATTCAGTCAGCAAGCTGGAGACCCCAAGAGAGCAGATGGTAGTTCCAGTCCCAGGCTAAAGGCCTCAGAACCAGGGAAGCTAGTGATATAAGATCCATTCCAAATCTAAGTCCAAAGGCAGGAGAAAACTGATGTCCCAGATCAAAGACCTTAAATAAGAGAGACACAGATTTTTCTCACTCAGCTTTTTTGCAGCCCTCAAAGATTGGAGGAGGCCATTCATGTTGGAGAGGGCTATCTGCTTTACTCAGTTGACCAGTTCATCCAGACATAGCCTCACAGGCTTGCCCAGAATGTTTGACCAAACATCTGGGCACCTTGTGGCCCAATCAAGTTGACACATAAAAGTTACCATTACACGAATGGTAACCATCACTACTAATTTCTGAGTAGCTCATAATATGAGTGTAATAAACTCTTCATGCCCAGTCAGCCCCCAAAAGAGGTTCTCTGTCCTCCTGTACAATTAGGCTCTGTGCACAGACTATTCAGACTATTAGGTAATGCACTCAGCTGGCTATCCTCTGATGTCATCTTTGCTAGCTCTGAGGCCCAGCCATAAGGTCTAGCTGCAGAAGCTGCCCGAGACATATCTTCCTCTGGTCCAAGCTGCTGTGTCACATGTTCTTATAGTCCAGAGAAGCAAAGAAAAGAGTTGCCAAGACCCTGCTGAGGGACCTGAAGCCAGACTAGGATTCTGTGTCATGGAAGGAGCAGATTTTAGAGCCAAATAAGACCAGTTTGAGGGTAGACTCCAGTGACTGTAGATGCAGAACTTCAGTCAACCACTGAGCTTCTCAAAGCCGGCATCCTTAGCACTGATGCAGGGCCCAGGAGATAGGAACTGAATGAGTAAGAAATCAAGTAGAAAGCAGTGAGCCCTATAGCATGAGATGCTGTTAGACTGTCCCTGCTGCAGGTCCTTTGCTACAGGCAGAGCTCCCCGTGGTTGGCTGAAGCCTTTGTCGTGACTACATCACAGTTCAGCTTCTCCCTCTATTCAGTCTTCCTCCCTTCACCTCCCCACATGGGCTGGCCCCCAGAGTTTCAGTAGAGCCCACGTGGGCACCGAAGAGCTGCAGAGCCAAGGCTGGCCCTCAGAGCCTCAGGAGATGGACTGCCTGAAAATCTTCCACTCAAACTCTGTTTTCCGGGGAATGTGGCCTGGGACATTAGGAAATGTCAGTGGTCGCAGATCAAAACACTTTCAACACTCATCTCCCAAGCCTGAAGCCTTTGCTGAGGCTGCCGCAGGAGTGTATGAAAATGATTATGAGAGAGTCTTTGTCCAAAGGCACTCTGACATGCACACCCTCCCAGAGCTTGTTCAGATGCCACCACTGATGTGAAAGTACTCTCTTTCCTAAAAAGAAATACTTTCTCTCCAAGTCTCTAGGCATTTCTGTCTCCCCGCACTGGGCTCTGAGTGGCTGGGGATAGAAACCACTTCATTTAGCTCCCTATCCCGAGGGCCAGCACCATGCCTGGCATACACAGTGCTCAATAAACGTGTGGGGAATGAATAATTGATACAAGTGTGTAAATCACGTTTGTGTGGAAAGCTGACACTGAGAAAGCAGGACACTGAGGCCAGAGAGACCATTCACTGCTTCACACAGCAGGAGCCAGTAACAAATGAGAGGCAGCTGTGGAGTGAGGGGCATCCCCACTGACGTATGTGTGCCCAGCAGGGCTGCCCCTGGAGACTGCTCAGAATGTTAGAGCTGGTATGCGGTGGGATGGAATGGAGCACATCAGAGGCCATTTCAGTCCACTGGACTCTGTTGCAGATGACACATCTGAGCATGGTCCAGCCGAATCTCTGCCTTGGAGACTATTACAGTGTGGTAGAGAGCAGACTCTGGTTTCAAATGCCTGCCTGATAAACGCTATGTGACTTGGAGGAACTCATTCACTCTTGTGGAAACTTAGTTTTCTTAACTGTGAAATGGGATCACATCTACCTTCTAGGGAGGATTTCAGAAGTTAATGTGTGTAAAAACATTACAGAAACAGCCTTAGGCACAGGATACAGTATAGCATTTTCTTTTAATTTCCCTTCTTAGCTATTTTCGGGGATGTGTGTCAAAGCAGACATCTGTCTTTCACCAGAGTCAAACAAAATGGTTTATTTGTGAATGCTTAGCTTTGAACTTGCTCACAGAGTTTAGCTCAATGGATTATTTTCAGGACTTGATTCTTTCCCTGTGCATTTTCCATTTGGGTCCCATCCAATTATGCAGATTCAGTGCTGTGCACCTACCCTGTGCCTTCCCACCAGGCACGTGCTGCCAAGCAAAGAATAAAATCCACTCCCTCCACCTCCTCTGGGGGCTCTGTATCCAAATCCCTGAGAGGCCCAGCGCATTAACAAATAACACTGGAATCTGCACAGATTGCAGCATCAGCTGGAAGGATTGGAGAACAGGTGTTCCCTTCAAAATAAGCCTTTCTTTGCAGAGACATTTGCAGAACTGGAGTTTCATAGCAAAACGAGCTGATCGGCATAAAAAAAAATCATGGGGAGGTGAGGGTTGCCGTGACAGGCCATGTCTTCCCTTATTAGCCTTGGCTCCCCTCCCCTTGTGGCCTCTGTTCTTTCCTGCTGCACCTTTGATATCTAGACTTTCACCTTTAGAGTTGGTGCAGCAAGTGCTTGCGTTCCCTCTGAATCCGGAACCAGCAGCTTTATACTAGGGGAATTATTTCCCCTCTTTGACTCATGGCTTATCTGTCAAAGGAGATACTAATGCCTGGCTCACAGGGTTGCTGAGAAGATTACATGAAATAAGCTTATAAAAGCCTTGAGCATACAGCCTGACACAAACATGCCCAATAAAACTTCCTGCCGATATTATTTTTCTGTCATTTATCCACATAATTAAATCAAGTGTTACTCCAGCTCCAATGTGGCCTCGTGATGGGACATTGAGGAAAGAGTCTTCCACGTGTTTTGCCCAGTGCCAACTTGCTGTGTGACCTTGAGCCCGGCACCTTTCCTTTCCGGGTCTCAGTTTCTTAAGTCATAGAGAGATAATTGGATATGATCATCCCAGAGGCCTCTGTTAGCCCTTTCTGTGCTGCTTTTACTGTGATATCCCTGACACTGCCTGGTCCATTTGGGGTCAGTTGGCACTTGCTTGACGGGTTTGCTTCTCCAGAGAAACAGAACCAATAGGGTGTATATATGTGTATATGTGTGTGAATGCGTATGTGTGTGTATTTATCTATACACCCACATAAGAACTTGGGTCACACACTTGTGGAGATTGGCAAGTCGAAGTTCTACAGGGTAGGCTGGCAGGCTGGAGACCCAAGGAAGAGTTTCCATTCAAGTCTGAATGCAGTCTGTTGGCAGAATTTCTTTTTCTTTGGGGAAAGTCAGTCTTTTCCTACGAAAAAAGTCTTCAACTGACTGAACAGGACCCACCCATATGATGGAAGGTTATCTGCTTTACTCAGAGTCTAATAATTTAAATGTTAATTTCCTCTAAAAGATACCTTCACAGAAACGTCTATAATGTTGGAACAAACATCTGGATTTTGTGACCAGGCCAGATTGACACATAAATAGCCACCACAGCTGATGAATACTCAGTCTGCCAGAGGGCAGACTGTCATTAAAGATCAAAGATCCAGACTGGGCACGGTGGCTCACACCTGTAGTCCCAGCACTTTGGGAGGCTGAGGCAGGTGGATCACAAGGTCAGGAGTTGAAGACCAGCCTGGCCAACATAGCAAAACCTCATCTCTACTAAAAATGCAAAATCCAGGCATGGTGGTGGGCACTTGTAATCCCAGCTAATCAGGAGGCTGAGGCAGGAGAATCACTTGAACCCAGGAGGCGGAGGTTACAGTGAGCCAAGATTGTGCCACTTCACTCCAGCCTGAGAGACAGAGTGAGCCTCCATCTCCCCCCACCAAAAAAACATGATCAAGGATGCAGTTACTCAGAGTCAGGTGCACCTGTTCTCCCGCATGGAAGGCTGCACACCCCTTTTCTTCTCACTGACATAAGGATGGCAATTCCATCATCGAAGGGAGGAATGGCAGCCTAGTAGGGAGACACAGTCTTTAAGGGGCTTTGTCTTCAGATCTCCATTACCTTGGGCAGGGGTTTTAGGACATGTGCTC